CTTGGACTCTTAGTAGTACTCTATTTGCCACAACTAAGCCTATTAGTTATTAATATTCCATTATTCCCCTATCTACTTATATGGTTCAGTGAGAGTAGATGTATAGACTTTTGATCATTGGTTATAGATAAAGGATGTTTTTGTCTTTCACTGGTTGTGAATGAAGAAGCATGTGGCTCTTATTTGTGCTTGCAGAGATCTACCTTTGACCATAACCAGGGTCTTCATAGGATAAACAGAAGGGACAGAAGAGGGAGGAATAAAAATACTGATGGCATCATTAAGAAATTTGACTGACTATGCTGAAGACTTCCCTTTCTCTAGGGGCTCTAGTTATGAGACCCAATATATTTCTTTACCACTAAAAATGGTTTTCTCTGTCCTTTAAGTTAGTAAATGAATTGAAAACATCCTGGATATAGAAAGGATTTTATAGTGAGCAAGATATCAGTAGCTAGAAGATAAAGGGAGAGATATATTTCAAATAATACAGAAGGCTTGGCCAAAGGTATTGAAAAATTGCTCTCTGTCTCTGTCTCTCTGTCTCTCTCTGTCTCTCTGTCTCTCTCTCTCTCTCTCTCTCTCTCTCTCTGTGTATTGATGTGTTGGGTAAGGAGTATCTGAAGAAGATTTTTTTATATGGGGCTACTGCAGTAGAAGACAACCTACTCTTACATCTTATTTCGTTTGAAAAAGACTAGACAAAAAAGACCTTGTTTCTAATTGAAAAAGGCAAAGAAAAAGGACTCAGGAGACTGTTTATCCAGCGGCAACATGTACTGAATATCCAATATCACATTTGCAGAGAACATTGCCAATGAGTTTTTATCTCCATGATTTAAAAAATAGTTATTGAAAACAGAGAAAAGATTTTAAAAATAGAATTTGTAATAAAGCAGTCATTTCCTAAAACCTACTTCATTTATATACATTATATACATGTAAATTGTTAGTGTGACTAAAGTCTAACTAAAGGATTTTCCATTTTAAAGCCTCAATGATCACTGTTAAAGGAAAGATGAGTGCTTAATTATTCTCCATTTAGAGCTTTCAACTCTCTAATTTTTTTTAGTTTGGTGATATTTTTTTTAAAAATCGAAGCAAATATAAATGGGAAATCTTATAACCATATTTGTATTAGATGTATATGTTTCTAAATGCTAATTTATGCATGATTTCTAACTTATTCTAACAAGTCACAATTCCTGCTTTGAAGATGTCTAAAATCTTACAAAGAACTTAGGATGTGAGCATGTCCAGATATATTTTAACTAAAAGAAATATATATATTTTGCATGGAGCATCTTGAAAATTATTTTTCTGTAGAGGAAATGGTAAGAAGGAAAATGTAGAAATAGGAAACAGGTAAATAAGCACCTGGATAAAAGAAGGCTCCCAAGGAAGCAAAGATGCCATACACATAATGTTATAAACGACAGTGCTAAAGAATGGATGCATGACCTCTGGGTCTTCTCCATTTGGACATTAGCTTGTACCTTACAATATCAGCCCGCAAACCACCAGATTTTAAAGAGTAAATTAGGAGGGCTTTCTCAGGTCCTCTCCACTGGTTCACTTCTTGCATCAGTGTGCATCTTCATTGGAATTCAGCTTACAGATACTCTCAGAATACCATATGTGTGTGGAAGGGAGCTGGAGTGGGGTGGAGCAGATATTTCAGCCAGCAAAATTCTTGCTTTGCAACCACAAGAACCTGAGGTTGATCCTGAGTCCGTGTGAAAAATAATGTTGAGGAAGATGGCATGAGTTTGTAATATCAGCGGCTGGAAAGGCAGAGACAGGTAGATGCCTTGAGCTCGCTGCTCAGTCAGCATAGCCTACCAGGTAAGTTCAAGTCAATGAGAGACCCTGTCTCAAAATAAAGGTGGGTGGTGCCTGAGGAATGACACCCAAGGTTGTCATCAGACTTCCACATTACATGTGTGTACCTGCGTACACGTGAACATACACACATGCATGTGTCCACACATAATGTAAAAAAGAATACAAACCACATGTAGATGTGGTTCTGGAAAATGTTGGCTACTTTTATTTTAAGGTATCTACCATTGCTTGAATATTTGTATCTTCCAAAACTCATGTAAATGTTAAATTGCTATGGCAAGAGTACATACAGACCAAGACTCATTAAGAGGTCATTAGACTACGGGTGATCTACAGTCACTGGTGAGATCAGGGACATTATCCAGTGGGCTTTGATCTGCCTTACTGTTGTCCTTCTTCTCACGCTTTGATACTGAATTCCCCAGCCTCTAGTACAGTGATCTAGTAATTCTGTATTCATTATAAATTGTCCACTCTCTAGTATTTTATCATAATCACAAAAGACCAAGAAATCATCTTTGAAATTCATTTGGAATTTAGGAAAGTGACTAAATAACAAAATTAAACAAGATTTAAGTCACTTTTCACACAGTCTGTGTTGTACATATTTACTCAGGTTCTTTGTGTATTTGTTTATTCATTTATGTCATTGTAGCTCCAAGATAAATTAAGAAGATGACTGATATCAAATCTCAGCTCATGCTCATTGGTGAATAAGGTTTTATTGTTTTCTTGAAATTTTAGAATAGCTGTGAAATCAATAGTATTTCTGCTTTAAAAAAGCAAAGGTAAAACAAATCAATCAAGATAGCTTGAGTAGCAAAGAAAATGAGTATTCAATAATTATAGAAATAGATTCAACTGACATTTGTGTTTGTGTACATCTGTGTGAGAGAGTATATATAGAGAAACAAATTGACAGACAGGCATACAGTAGCTATCTTCCTACATAGCACATTCTAACAATTTTATTTTTATTCTTTCAGGGAAAAACCATATCCCTTCAGATTTCATATTGAGTGCATTTTTAAAAACTAAAAGAAAAGATTATTAGGCAGCTTGCTTACTTAATCAAAGTCTATTAACATTCTAAAAAGTTAAATGTGATGAAATCAGATTTATTTTTATACTTATTAAGAATTCTCCTGCTGACACCAGATTAGTTGGCAGCATTCAAATCCATGAATTACTTTATGCATTGTAAATGATTATTTTGATATATATAGAACAAGAGGAAAAAGCTGTACCTGATTTAGTAAAAATTAATGACATATAAATGAATTTTAGTTTTTAAATAATATTCCTCAAGACCCAACTATACCAATCTTGGGCATATGCCCAAAAGGTGCTTCATCATACCACAAGGACTCTTGCTCATTGGGCCTATATTTATAATAGCCAGAAACTGGAAACGATCTAGATGTCCCTCAAATGAAGAGTGGACAAAGAAAATGTGGTACATTTACACAATAGAGTTTTACTCAGCTGTTAAAAGAAATGGCATCATGAAATCTGTAGGCAAATGGGTGGCACTAGAAAAAAAATCACCCTAAGTGAGGTAACCCCTACCCACAAGCACAAAAATGGTCTGTATTCACATATAAATGTATATTAGCTACAATTCACACACCACAAACGTTAGGTAACAAGGAGAGCTCTAGAAGAGAAGCATGGATCTCCCTGGGAGGGGGCAATAGAGTAGATTTTCAGGTGGAGCTGGGAAAGGTGGGGATGGGAATGGGCGGGGGATGATGGAGGAATAGAGGGCAGGGAGAGACAGCTGGAACTGGGGGGGTACATGAGGGGTGGTGTGGATACAGTGCAGTGGAAACTTCCTGGGATCTATGTGGGTTATCCTAGTGACGACTTCAAGTAATGGAGAATACACTCTGAACTGACCGTTTATATCCAGGCAAGATTTCTAGTGGTGAAATTTTGGTTGAATTTTTATAAGTCCCATGGATGTCCCCAAACAAACCAGGCTGATGCTAGGACATCAGGTTGCTCTCTGATATTTCATAGTGGGCCCCGTTGGGAAAGACAAATCTACACAGCTTGTTGAATGTAGAGAGGTGGAACTGATGCCTGGTTGGAGTCTTCACACCTGTGTCTAGTCTCTTTGGCAGTTTCTGCAGACTTTGGAAAGTAAAACCGGACACCAACCCAGCACAAAACCTTCCACCTGCAATTTGTCCTGCCTGCAAGATGTGCTGGGGCAATAGTGGCATGGAATTTGGGGAGTGGCCAACCAATGTTTGGTTTAACTTGAGGACCATAACAAGAGAGGGAGTCCATAGCCCTGGATGGCCAGAAACAAGAGACCGGATAACCCAGAAACCTAGTGTAGAAACAAACAAGACAGGCAAAAAGAAATCAGTGAAGTGATTCCTAATGATATTCTGCTATACTTATAGATCAATGCCTTGCCCAGTCAAATGGGAGTAGGTACAGTATGCAGAGAGAGAGAGAGAGAGAGAGAGAGAGAGAGAGAGAGAGAGAGAGAGAGAGTAAAATTGGAATTTGAGGTCTCCTTCAGGTTACTTCCCTTGGAGACTAGGGAGCCATTCAGAAGAAGGAAAGGAAAGACTGTAGGAGTCAAAAGGGTCAAGAACCACAGGGGAACATGGTCCACTGAAACAATGAAGCAGGGCTCACATGTGCTTAAAGGGACTGAAGCAGCAAGCATAGGTCTGCAAGAAGAAGTCCTCTACAGAATGTTACTGCTATTAGCTTGGTGTTTTTGTGGAACTAGCAATGGGAGCAAGTGTATCTCTGACTCTTTTGCCTGCTCTTGAGACTCTTTTCCTCCTATTGGGTTGCCTTGTCCAGCTTTGATATTAGGGCTTTCACCTTATCTTATTGTATCTTATCTTTTTTGCTGTAATCTCTTGGTGGGGGTCTACTCTTTTTTGAAAGAGAGATGAGAAGGGGAGTGGATCTAGAGGAGAGAGAAGTGGGGAGGGGAAGCTAGGAGAAGTGGAGGGAGTAGGGGCTGTGTTTGAGATGTATTGAATGACAAAAGAACCTATTTTCTCTTTAAAATTTTTAAATTAAATTGAATTTAAAAGGAAAAGAAAAACCATGCAGATTTCAAACAAATTAAACTCAAAGGTGGGCTGTATCTGGAAATTTGAGAGGAAAGGAAGCATCATTACCTGGACACTGGTCAGAGTTGTGTACTGGTAAGCTTTGACCACCAAGTAATTAGCTTCCAAGTCTACAAGTCCCAGGATCATGTACTTCCACCATCTTCGTCGTAAAATTGCCAAGAGGTTTTCTTCTCCTGTGTTACAAAGTTAAGAAAAAACATATTAAGTGCTTGACATACAACACATTACATATTGAGAATACTAACATATTGTTGCACTATGTACCTACATATGCATTTTTTTACCAGAAACTTACCCAACATTTTAGTGGCTTAATATATCAAAGACTCACTTGATTTACTTAGGAAATTTTCTCATGGTCACTTTTGGTCTCCAAATAAGTTTCTACACCAGGGTGAGACTAAGTAAGTCATTGCTTACCATGGAATACATACATACATACATACATACACACACATATATAGCATTGCACTCACACACAAAAAACTTCAGACCATTCTAAATTTCAAGACTGTACTAAAAACAGATACAGACCAAAAGAAAAGTAGCCTGTTAGAAGCAGCTTTGTGTGTGGCAGTAGGTCTGTAGTAAAACTCTAAGATGGCATCCAGAAGATTCTTTTGCTTGAATAACCATGTTTAATCTAGAAATGTGTGAGTGAAGTGTGGAGAGAAAGTTTTAGGATGGAAAAGTCCACCACCTGATCCTTGTCTCTGTGCTGCCAATTAATTTCATTACCTTGTCTTGCAGTTATAGCATCTGAACAGACTTTAGATATCGCCATTCTTACTTTTATATGTATCCCAAGCTGAAATAAATATTACTTTTAAACGTGGCCCAACGACAATTACATACAGCTCTTTGTGCCCAGCTTGTGACATCTCCACAGACCATGTTGAGTATACAGACACTGAGGGAATAGTGATGCTATATATGACTTATTACTGCATAACAAATTATTCCAATATATAGATGTTTAAAACAAGAAATGTTTATTGTGTTCTGGTTTCAAAGGGGACAAGAATCTGGTGCAGCTCAAGTGAATGCTTATGATTCAAGACTTCAGTAAGTTCCAGGCAAACTGCCAGCCAGGGTTCAGTCTTATCTGAAGGATTGATGACAAGGGGTCTTTTGGATGTTGGAGGCCCTTAGTCCTTCGCCTCAGGGGACTGGATGTGGAATCAGCCAAAGACAGAGAAGTGTGTCACAGCCAGCAAAGGAGTTGGAGACCTGAAGAGCACTTTGACTTGGGACATGGAAATGCAGTTTAAAGTTCGCCCTACTGGTTTATGGTCTTGCTTTGACTTAGTACTTCTTATTAGGCCCCCTTTCCTCCTTTCTGGAATGATAATATATATCCTGTGTCATTGTATGTTGGAAGTATGTAATTTGTTTTTTATTTTTTGGGGGGTTACAGTTAAGAAATTGCTTCCAGGTGGTGGTGGTGCACACCTTTAATCCTGGCACACTGGAGGCAGAGGCAGGAGGATCTCTGTGAGTTTGAGGCCAGTCTGGTCTACAGAGTGAGTTCCAGGACAGGCTTAAAAGCTACACAGAGAAACCATTTCTCAAAAAACAAAAGCACCAAAATAATGAAGCAAAGCAACAACAGCAAAAAGAAACTTCCTTGAGTTTCAGAAGAGACTTTCAAACAGTCTTAAGACTGCAAGGCTATGGGGATTTTTGAAGTTGAACTAAATGCATTTTGCATTATAATGTAACTATAAACCTGGAGGAGGCTAGAGGTGAAATGTGATGGTTTTAATGACATGGGCTCCCATAGGCTCGTGTATTTGCTGGCAGCTATGAGGGGAAGATTAGGAGGTGTGACTGTGTTGGAGATGATGTATCACTAGGGATGGACTTTTAGGTTTCAAAAGCCCATACCAGGCCCTGTGTCTCTCTTTCTCTGTGCCTATTGCCAGTGGATTAGAGTGCAAAGCTCTCAGCTACTGTTCCAACACCATATTGCCTGCATGCTGCCACACTCCTTGTCATGATAATAATGAACTAAATCTCTGTTATAGTTATTCTTGGCTGTCAGCTTGACTATGTCTGGAATTAACTAAAACCCAAATGGTTGGGCACACCTGTGAGGGATTTTTTTTCCTAAGTAAGTCGTTTGAAATAGAAAGACCAACTTCTAATCTAGATCTCTGAAGTGGAAAAGCAAACCTTTAATGCAGATCTTTTGAGATAGGAAGATCCCCCTGAAGTCCTGACCAAACCAGCCACCAGCCTATATAAAGGAAAGAAGGAAGCTTGTTCTCTTTTCCTGCTGGCTCTCACCCTTGCTTCCAAGTGCAATTCTAAAGTCGCAGGTTATTGTCATGGGCATGACAGCCTACTTTTTGGGATTCCAGCATATACTGAAGACATCCAGTTAGACAACAGACTATAGATCACTCTAATAAATCCAATTTCTATATATTTAGAGATCCATTATATAAATTTTGTCACTCTAGAGAATCCTGATTTATATACCCTCTCAAACTATAAGCAAGTCTCCAATCAATACTTTCTTTTATAAGAGTTGCCTTGGCCATGGTCTCTCTTCAGAGCAATAGAAACCCTGAATAAGTACTGTTCCAGCAAGACACTGAACACTCCAGTGTCCAAATGAAGCACCAGCATACACTTCTAATAGGAATGCTGGCACTCTTCTGCTTGTTGGGTTGGGACTCTCTGTAATACACCCTGTTAAATACTGTGTTCCAACCACATACAGAATGCATATTTTCTTATCTCTGTTACACATTAGGTTATTCAAAATTTGAACAAATTGGCATTATCTTGTCCTTTATTTCCAGGATCCAAAAGTCCATGACAAATAGTCAATAAATTATATGCAAATAAATTTTACATCTAGTCATCTCAGAAAGTTTAAGTAACAGTGAAATTTTTTTTCATAATTACAGCGTCTTGTGTGTTTATTTGGGGACTACAAAGCGGCAGAGCCCAGGCAACTGGCGGGAGATAAACCAAAGCGGCTAGCAAAGAAAAAGCTTCTCTTAACACAGTAACAGTGAAATTGAGAGAGTTAAAATACATCTACCACAAACATTCTTGCTTCTTCGACTGAAATATTTTTCTAGTTAAAACTATGACATTGATGAAACTAATGTGTTTGAGTATTTGACATATCATACACTGGATAGAAGCCATAAAGTTGTTAATGGTGTATTTAACCTCAGAGCAGCAATTCTAAAGTCACAGGTCACTGTTCTGCTATTTTACATGATGAACAATTGCCAAATTCAGGACCTACAAGCCACATCTCAACACATGTTACTGGAAAATGGGGTTATAGCGACGTTACTTGTCCCACTAACCAAGAACATGTCCAAAGCCATTTATTATATAGGCTCAGGTGAAGGATGGGTTGCCTTGCTGGTCTGAGGATAACAACTTCGAGGAAATACACACCTTGTAAATGCTTCCAATGGAGTTTCATTTATGACTCTGCAAACACTCAACAGACTTGATTAATAGAATTATCCAGGATGGAGGGAGACTTTATTTTAAAAGGAGCATCTGACTCACTGCTGTACAACTTTAAAATAATGGCAATACATTATTGGAATCCCTATGCTGAAGGCCCTTCTGAATCCATGAAATAGATTCAGAATCGTGGAATAGAATACCCTTATAACTGATAAATAAGAATGCTTGAAAATCACCTCTAGATTTCATTGTTAACTGTAAAGGGTAATAAAATCTATGAGCAATGAATAGAATCTTTGGAATTGCAGTTTGGTATTTAAATATATTCTGTCTGTTAATGTGTTAGTATCTGTATGACTAAATGCAAATAAAAATATTGGATTAGAAAGTATTAATGTACTCTCCATTTGATTTATCAAATGCCAATGTTTGGGGATGTTTGTTTCAGATTTTTTTGAGGATGTAGTATAGATGACATTGAAGGCTATCCTCTGCCCCTGCCAGATTCTATTTCAGAGCAGTGGGTGTGTGAGACTTTCTTTAAAATTGCCAAGATTCAGAATATTTTAAGAAAGTTCCCCATACAAAACTTTAAAACAGGTGTCAGATTAGAGGGTAGTCTTATAAAATTACAGTTTTCCTATTGTTTGATTAGCTTAAGTTTAGGAAGTTAACATAAGAGGAGACAGTGTTGGGACTGTGTTTCTAAGCCTTTTCAGTAGGTTGTCTTCCAACACAACGAAATATCATACACTCTTATGCAAAGTCCGAATGCATATGAGATGCATTCCAGTATAACAAGGTCCTAGAAGGCCCAGACTTGGATTAAAAGTAACCACACACACACACACACACACACACACACACACACACACACACACACACACAGAGAGAGAGAGAGAGAGAGAGAGAGAGGCACGCACACACTCATGCACATGCGCACATGCACTCACACAAACACACACACACCTCTCCTTGTAAAATAATGAAAATGTTTTTTCTCTTCAGAAAAAAAATCACAATTCTTGGGTTTATCCGCCACGCTGCTATCATTGTGAAGACACTACTTCGAACTGGAAAATACTGTTCACTAGCTAGCATCTGTAATGGTAGGTTTGCTGGGGACAAGTGAATGGTTGATGCTTTGATTTGAAATTATCCAGAGCAATCATAATGGAACTCTGTATTAATATAAATCTCTCAATTTTCCTGGGGTGAGCCTGCTGAGAGGAAAATGTATTTGTCCTTTTTAATGACAAGACTATTTCCTCTTTCTTCATCCCATTTTGTGAAAAGTGCCTCCATTTGCCTTCTGGAACTATCCTGTAATTGGTACTGATGCCTCATGACATTAGGCAGATGAATCTGTCAGGTTTGTGAATTTTGTTTTGAACAAAGACCTATGTCTCAGCTAATGACACACGATGTAAGGGGAAGAGGCCAAAGTGGGCTTGCCTCTGGATGTCTGCCACTCACGGAGTATATTCCAAAGACAACATGACAGAAGGTGCCAGCCTGAACTCTTGAGGGCTGACCTTGAGCTCTGACATGAGAGCAGCTGTCATGGTGGACACATAGGTTAGCCCCAACACGGGAAATTAACAGGATGGAGTGTCAGTGGGCCAGATGCCTGGTAAAGCAGGAAGCTGGCTGGCAAGCTTTCACTACCCAGTCTCCTATCCCCGATCTCAGAGACCTAGTGGGTACCAAGGCTACTCCTGTTAACTGT